TATATATATATATATATATATATATATATATATATATATATATATATATATATGCCTATATAATATAAATATATATACATTTTTAAATTCTTTTTTGTATAATAGGTTCTAAAACGTCTCAGTTTAATATTTACCCAAAATTGCCTATACGTTTAGGAAATAGACACTCTTTCAGACTGTTTCCTGGGACCCAAAAACTATATCCTATGTACATATATGTACTTATGGAGAATAAAGTGGATTTTATATTGATTTTATATAGACCATTTTGACATTCTAATTTTTATTTTTTAGATGTATCAAATTTATTCAACATATTTAATTTGGCTTGGAATGGTTAATTATAGGAATATATGTATGTCGATGTTCAATTCATGGCACAACGGGTCTCTTATTTACTCAATAGATAATCTGTCTTCAAAAAGTAATCCATATGCCAACATCTTATGAACGGTGTGTTTGGACTCAACGATGCAATGCTCAATGCGTTTCTAACACAAATAAGGTGGAGCTATGTTATTTATCAAGTAGGATATGCTCCAATCAACATCCAGCTATAATTGGAAACTGTTAAAGTTGGGGTAGGAGCGAATAGTATAATAGAGGTTGCATAAGCTAAAATAGTACCGTGCGGGGAAATAAGACACTCAAGATAACTCAACGTCGACAGATATTATAACCTAAAACTTTATATTTAAATGTTTTCTGTATCGTATATAGTAGAACTGAGACAACAATTATTAGGACAAATTGTATCACCTGTGAATGACCCAGTGTAGTCTACGTTATTTGACTACTTCGTGTAAATTTCAGAGCCGAATACAAACTGACAAAAATATGGAAGCATTTGGAAACGTGGAGCCGATTGACCTGTCAGCATCTACACTAATAGACCATACAGAAGAAAAAGATTGTAAAAAACAGTATTCAAATACTGAACATGACAGAAGAATTAAAAACTGTTCTGTTACGGGTGAGATGGTTACTTCCAAGCACCTTCCATTGACGAAGTTAAACTCCAAGTCTGCTTACCATCGGCATCCCAAACCTCCGTTTTCATACATTGCTTTAATAGCGATGGCGATCAAAGATTCACAGAACGGAAAGTTAACATTAGCCGAGATCAACGAGTACCTTATGAATCGGTTTCCATTCTTCAGGGGTTCTTATACTGGTTGGAGAAACTCAGTTCGACACAATCTATCGCTGAACGAATGCTTCGTCAAGATTCTTCGCGATCCGGGTAGACCTTGGGGTAAAGATAACTACTGGACAATTAACGAGAAGAGTGAGTATACATTTGCCGATGGGGTTTTCCGCCGGCGGCGAAAAAAGTTAAAGAATAAAAATAAGGTGTCATCCAGCAATGGCTGCTCTGAGAAACAGTTGACCAAAAAGCCCAACCGAAAGAAATTTTCAGGGGCGTTTAGTATTGATAAAATTCTTGGAACAGAACTTTCTGATAACTACCGACCAGAGGCTGTTACGTCTGTTCGAGATATGTCAAATAATTATACGGTGCTGACTCAAACAACCAGCCCGGTTCTCTGTCCCCGTTCTATCAGGCCCGTTCCAATATTTACTGTGAAACAGCCAGAAAAAGAAAGTAAGATGTATTTACATTGGCCAACGTTGCAGTCGCCAGGACACTTGGTACCAGCATTCAACCAACACTTTGGTGCAATGGTGCCTTACTCCGATCAACTGCGCTTGCACCAGTCCCAGTTGCAGAATTTTCTCAACTACCGCCAAACCTCTTTTCTTCCGAACTGTGTTGTTCCCCCGGTTATTCAAAATCAAACTAGCTTACTTGAAATGCAAGCTATGCAGAGAATATTGTTACAAGCAAGACAATCAATGATGTTGGGATCTACAATGCCCTATTACAAATTCAAAAATAACTGAAAGATGTCCTTACCAACTAGTAGAGTAAACGTGTTATACTTACTGTAAGCCCGATTTATTAATTTAAAAAAATAGAATTACTGACTAGAAACTCATCAAACAGTGAAATGCTCATTCAAATGATTAATGAAGTTATGAACGTTGAGTAGTTTACACGTGCCACAAAGGTAAAAGGTCTATATGAATGGATACGGTATTATCTATGTATTTATTAAAAATTGACAAAGAAAATATCGCTCTAATTTTGTATAAGTTACTTAAAGTCGCTAACTCAAATATTCAATTTTATTGTTAAGATTATTAGTTCGATATATACTTCATTCTCGAAAGTGCAAAAAAATTAAAATTTACAACGGATTCAGAAACTTATATAGACCTTTAGAGGTTGCTTTTGTAAATCGTGACGATCAACTCACTACTTTAGCTGCCAATCGTTGTGTTAAGTAAATTTTCAATTCTATTAAGAGCAACTGACAGTTATAGGAAACCACTAATATACCACTTTATAAATATCTCTTATAATGCATTTACATGATCATTAGCTTCAGTGACACCACGTTGTGAAATTTATGTCTACATTTACATTGCTTCTAAAAAATATTTATAAACAAAATTATTTATTTTAAAGTCGACAGTACTGTAAAGTTGAGTGTCATAAACGATATGATTTTTTTTTTACATTTTAATGAATGTAAAATTATAAAACTTCCCAATAGAAATACATTATTAATTGTACATAGTTAATGTCATTCATTAATTTATAATTATATTATCCTATTGTTTCCTATACTAAGAACACAAATTCAAGCCTCATTCAATATTTCAATTATTTAAATATATAACTGTCACTAAAAATAATCGTAGTAGTTGAAGGAATTACTTTTCAAATTGTTAAAATTGATTTGTTGAAAGAAAATATAATTTGTTATTATGATTTCATAATAATGGTTCTAAATATTTCAATATATGCTGCGTTTGTGTAATATATCATTGTTGTAAAGTTTAATCTTCAAATCTTCAATCTAGACGTGCACTTTCTTTAGATCAACAGGAGCTTCATAGATAGCCATCTACAGCCAACTCTGGGAGACGATTGGTAGCACACTGCAGATTAAATATTCCGTTGGCTATATAAACTCAGACATAGCAGTTACATCGCTCCTGTCTGAATGTCAAACACTAATATCTTTATTCTTCCACTGGTTAGTGTCGTTCATTTCAGCAATCGTATTGTTGCTGTGTATTCAGGATTCATTGGTTTTAGACGCTGTCCAATCACGAACTTTATAAGTAAAGAAAAGTGTTTGCTTAGGACAAGTCATCGCCTCGTAAGCAGCCCAAAGTAGTTTGTTTTGTAATAGTTCTACTGCAATGCGGTAGTTATCACCACCATGACAAAAGGAAGCAATTGTACGCATTTTAAAGGGCAATCGCATTGTGTGTATTTGTGACAATCGATTTTATAAACATTATTCCTATATAATGAGCCGGTTTTTGAGAAGGTAGCCTATATAAAGTATTTAGGATTTAAATGAAACATTTCAATACTAATATTCTTGGTAAATGTAAAAGATGCATCTTATATACATAGTTTTATGTGCTGGTTTTCGAGAAGGTAGTCATATAAAATATTCAGGATTGAAATGAAATATTTCAATACTGATATTCTTGGTGAATGTGTGTAAAAAATGTATTTTATCTACATACAAGTTTTAATTGTCTACTATTATATTAATAAGCATACAGAACTCCGATAGAAATTGAATAAATTAAAATTTAGAAGTAAAAGGAAAATGTAATTAAATGAACTTATACGGTACCGTATATGTTTAAAGAAGTAATATGCAAATCTATAACATTGAATGTTATAGATTAAAATTAGACCTATGATTAAAATTAAAGATGTATTATTGTCTGCTTGCTAAAAATTCAATAAAATCTCTTTTGAAAGGATCCAATTAGTTATTAGCTGATTTTCAGTTTACTCCCAAAATCCTTAAATTGGATACCAGTCAATTTAATGGTCTATGTAATGAAGAAAAGCTATTATGTAACTGTGTTTGTTGTGGGGAACTCTTTTCCAGTTCGGATTAATTTGTAGAGTAATAACATACACTTAAATATACAAATTGACCAAGGGAATATTAACTAATATGGAATTGATTTTTCCCATTTTGTGCTCAGGACAGAATTACATCTTTAAAATAAACTTACCATAAAGAACTATAAAATTGTAAATCAAAATACAAGTTAACTTTAATAACGCAAACAATGTGGATACGGTATATTTTTTATCGTTTTTATCTCAATAAAATTATATATTTTAGAGTGGTATGCATAAATTAATGTTTTGGATTCGTGCAATGCTATTTAACCTTTCAACTCACCTGTATTGTAGTACACTTTACATAATTACTGTATATTGTATTTTAGATAGTGTTCACTGGCATTATTACATAAATAATGTTGTTTTTTTAGAGAAAATCATAATATTGTCCCAATCGGGATGGGTAGTACTTTTTCCCTTAAAACGTCTTTTATCATTTTAATGTATTACTGGTAAAAGTGTTCATCCATACCATGGTTATAGTTACCATAGAGGAATAAAAATATTGTACACATGAATTAGGTCTAAGTAAAAGAAAAATAAATGCACCAGGGAATGTAAACTATCGTGCAAATTATAGGCCCACAATTATGGCCTACAGAATAACATGATTGAATTAATACATTTGTTTAGAAGATAGAATACTGTTTGGACTATTGCTGTTTTTTTTTTATCTCTAGCACTGAGTGTCGATAGACCATACTAACTTGCTTGGTTGGTTGGTAAATGTTGTCGAAGTCCCCGTCACGTCACTGACACCGGCATTATTGTTATCATTATCATTATCTTTATCATTATCATCATTATCATTGTCATTATTAATTATCATTATCCTATTGTTACCCTTACCAAATATATCTATTTTAATGATTATTTTATATTCATTATATTATTTTTATTGCTATTGTTAATACTTAGTATTGTTATCCTCTCCAGCGTAATTATTGTCATCATTATTATAGCCGAGTTATTGTTTCTCCTATTTCTTTTCTAAAATTCTAACTTTTAACAGTTCTTCATTCTAAAACATTTTTTTTGTTGGATGGATGGGTAATGAAATCACTCATTAACATAATGATTTTTTCGCTCCCAAGCATAAATGTTAAAGCAACCTTCTGTATATGAAATCCTTCGAAAGGTAGGCGCGTATACGCAGCACGAAGAAACACGAATATGGATCAGCAAGTTTCTGAAAAAGAGGTGCCCCGAGAAGTAAATTACGGGCTTGGTCCACAAACTACATAATGCCAAACACTACGTCTAAGCATGTTTGCTCTTTACAGTTAGGCCCAATAGTTAAACAACATTATGTGAACATCAGGGAGGAGTGAATCACAGTCAACATTGTATTCAGTGATTTGAAATATTGATTGAATCCGTCTGTCGGGGTACTTAAACTGGTGCTTTTAACTTTGTTTAAACTTAACTTTACTATTGCTTTGAGTGTCTGTATAAACTTTCCTCAAATTTAACGGAAACAAACATAGGCTCCCAAACCACGCACATGCAAAGCATTTATTGGAGCGTAATATTTGTGGTCTGATATTTCCATCAATATAATCATAATCAATGTTTAATCATTGACATTGACTGACGATTTATTGACTTTCATATGTGTTATTTTTCCGACTTTAAGAAGTTGAAAGTTGGCTAACAATAGGTTGTTGGTGAGCCCAACCCAGAGTCCACATTGTTTATGTGGAGTAGGCCTATCTAAAATTTAGAAAAGAAGTGGTGGTAAAAAAAACTCCTAATATATGCATACGCTGTTGTATTTGGAGCTTACGAATATGTGCTGTTGGCCTCAATAACAGCTCATTTAAAGGATTAACAAAATTATTAACAGAAACAGATTTTTTTTATTGTTTTGGCTATTTACTGAATGTTCCTACAAAAATCCTTAAATTGATTAACAACTAATGTATGGGATGCAAAAGGATATAAGAACAATGAGAGGGAAATGTTTTTCTTATTTAAAATTGGTAATTGTAAGTTAACTCATTTAAATATATGAATTAGTCAATACAAATAGCCTATGAAATTGATTTTTGTTTTAACAGAGATACATCTTTAATCAAGTTAAAAGATCAAACACCGCGCGCTACGATGGGCACCAACGCTGTTTTGCAAAACTATTGTACTTATAGTGGCATAATGGTTATTCAAGAGTGGCACCAGTAGGTGGGACCAGAGCCCCCTGACAGGAAGATCTTGTCCCCTGGAATATGTTTGAGAGATTTTGAGCGACGCCCGATCACGCCAACGTTTCTCTCATGGGAGGCCATAGCTCCCCCTCCACACTCCGTCGGACAAACCATGGCACCACCCCTGGGGCATAATATTCCCGGTTCGAATATTCATATGATCATCGTCAACAATACTTGCAAAGAATGGAGAACTCAGTTTTTTATTTTACCAAATCCATTGCCTGTTGTTCAATTTTTGTGCGAAAAAATGCATTGATTATTGAATAAATGACTGTATTAATTGTATCAGTATTAGGCCTATATTAAAGGAGAGAAATCAATATGGAACGTAAGAAAGAAATTGAAGAGAGGTGTATGTATCAAGTGTCAATTTAGTCTTACTAGTCATGGATGAATTCAACATGGCCAAAAATTCTCACCGTCGTCGTGTCTGTTTGATCTTGTAATTGCAAAATATTTGATTATTAACAGTTAAGAGGATATAATTACTAATAACAAGATGTCAATGTTGGAGGTATATTAAGCATCTTCGAGGCGTGAAATCTTATATAGCAAATATCGACAATATCAGTTTGAATAGTTTGCCGTTTTACCGTTGTCAACTTCAAAATAGAGTGATTGCGAGTTTACTTAAACGCTGACCCTGGCGCATGTGCGAAGTCTAAGTCTATAGTTCTATGTTCGAAGTTTGTCGGACGTGACTTTGTAAGTAATTTAATTCTATCTGTGTAAATAAGTTTTCAATATGAGTTGATTGCTCAAATTGGGAGTCATTGATGATGGCATGAACTTTTATTGAATGGTTTTATTCGACATTCTTTTAGAAAAACAATATTATAAAAACGTTTATGTGAAGACATAAGTAGATTGCTGGTAGACTGGTGTTTTGAGACAATAAGCAGAAGTGAATTACTTTTCATATATATTATAAATTAAGGTTCCTAAGACAGACACTATTTGAACCATTCAAATGGAATACCTCTGATTCCATAATGAGCAAGATTAGACAATAATATACTATAATTAACGACGTCAAACTCCTTGGATAAATCGAAAAATGTACTTAGCAAGTATCCTTATTTTCAAAAGATTCGTTGATAGAATGTAATAGATCTGGGAACAGTTAAATTAATTGTTCCCTAAATAGATCAATTGTTGCATGACTGGTTGAATGATTTTTTTCTAAAGCCGTATTGACGGTCAGTTAAAATATTTTTTATAAGATAATTATAGAGTCTAGAGTGTATAAGTTTTTCAGTGATTTTTGAAAAGACCGATAACATCGATATGGGTCTGTAAATAGTTATGCATTCTGAGTCAAATTTTTTAAATATAGGAACTACTTTTAAATGTTGAGGTACATGTCCAGAAGTAAATGACGAATTGATAGCATAAGTTAGATGATCAAAATATATGGAGAAATTTTTTTAAGCACGGATGCAGTAAGATTGTCATAACCGTATCCCTCAGTTGAGTCAAATAAGACCATTATTATTTCTTAAACTTCAGATTCGCAAGTAGGTAAGAGAGAAAAATAATTCAAAACTGGTGTTGGGGATCTATATTACAATCAAACATTGAATTTCTAATGGTACAATTAATTTCAGAAAAAGTTAAAATTTTCAGAGATATCTTTAATATTATAAATGTATTCATCATCAATCTTAATAACGTTTGGATGAGAATTTCGTTTTTTTTTATTAGGATTTTACCGAGTTAATCACATCCCAAGTCCCTTTAAGATTAAATTTAGGTTGATCGAATTTTATTTAAATATTTTTTCTTGGCATTTAGACATAATGTTGTGAAATATTATTATATTTCTTATATATTGATTTATCAAAAAAATCTTGAGTTTCTATTAATTTCTTGTAGAATTTATGTTTACGAGCACTGCATTTAAAAATAGATTTGGTCATCCATGGCTGTTTTTCTTTTTTTGCATAAATGTTTATTTTGAACAGTAAGAAAATTATCGATAAATATTTCAAATGATAATTTTGCATCATAATTATAAATTTCTGACTAATCTTCATTAGACAAGTCAAGACAATAAGAGTTCATATCATTAATAACAAAGGAACATTTTGCATTTTCAGAACAAAATTCTAGTTTAGTGTCAATAATTTGGAATATGGGCAAATGATCTCATATATCCGTTATGAGTATTCTAGAATATACTTCAGCAATATTTTGATTGGTATAAAAGTGGTCAATTAGGGTTGCACTGTTAGCTGTTATTTGGGTTGGTTTTGATATAGTTGGAAAAAACGAATTTGGAGCATGTTATCAAAATATTTATTAATGAGGTTGTGATTCGCAAACTTCGTTAGGTCTATACTGAAGTCACCCATTAGATTACACTCCTTGTTAAGGGAGTTTAATTTAGTAAATAATTCATTCATTTTGGTTGAAAATATTTTAATATTTGAATCAGGTGGCTTGTATATGATGCCAACAATTTTATTTTGTTGTTTCTTGACTACAATTTTAATGAAAAGAGAATTACATATGTTTTTAGGTATCATTTCGCAGCTTGATATTAAGGTCATTCCTAACAAAAAGACCAACTCCCACTCCTCTATTATCGAATCTGTTACTGGAAAAAAAAAACTTGTAATCATCAAGAATGGGGACTGTTTGTCATTCAACCATGTCAGACCAATAACGAAAAAGTTAAGATTTAAAGAGTTAATTAAATGTTTCGATTTGTCAATTTTATTAGAAATACTTCTAATATTAATATTCAACAGAGACAATTGTTTATTTACCTTGATAGATTTATTGACCATACATCTGAATTTGGTAAAGTCAACATATTCACATTCATCAAGGGTAATAGCCCTATAGTGTGATTAGCTAATAGTTCAGTCTGCTCATCAAAATTTTCTCGTTATTGGAAAGTTGATTAAATACAAGGCTAGGTAAATTAGAACAATTCAACAGGTTATCATGGAGTTAATTTATGTCCACTCCCTGAAATGGTACCGGTAGATGACTAAAAGCATTGTTATTACACATTAATCACAGTAAATATTATAATGAGTAAAAGCAGGATAATTTTAAATTTTGCGCAAAGAAAATAATTTGAAATGCGAATAAGTAAAGTAAATAAAGATTGAATAATAACGTACAATTTTCTGAAATAAGTTATATACTATTTAACTGGCATTTCCATTTCGAGTGCCAGTGGATGGATAGTGGCTCACAGCCTAATAACGAATCATTCCGAATGAAAAGAGAAATTTCAATATAGGTTACTAACACGTTCAATGGAGCAAAAACAACTCTAAACCAACAGTGAAGCAAGATGGCAATATAATTAATCAATCAGATGGGTAATGTTGTTATACAGTATTTAATATTATCAACTTAGATAAGTTATTTATCAGGAAACTTGTAAATAGATCCTGAT